TATTCATCATTTTCCGTTTCCTCTACCAGTTCTCTTTGCCCCACCAGTGCCGCCCCACACACCCAGCGGTCCTCTGGGATGACATGTCTCTCTTCGATTGCTCCCTCCCCCTCCAAATACTCGGGTTTACGTGAGAGAGCGTCCGCCCTGACGTTTTCTGGGCCTGGCACATAACGAATTTCAAAGTGGAATTTGGAGAACTCCTGTGCCCATCTCACTTGTCGTTGGTTGAGCACTCGTGCCGTTCTCCAATACTCTGAATTCTTGTGGTCTGTGCACACTTGCACCTTATGTTGTGCACCAATTAATAAATGTCTCCATCTCCGGAACGCTTCGTGAATGGCGAGTAGTTCCCGGTCATACACCGTGTAGTTCCTCTCGGATTTATTCAGCTTTCGCGAGAAGAAGGCACACGGTCTCCACTCCAACTTACTCTTCCCCGGTTGAAGAAGCACCGCCCCTACCGCCCGGTCTGATGCATCGGTTTCCACTCTCATAGGTTTTTGTAAATCCACATGCAGAAGTTGCTCTTCCGAGGCGAACGCCCTTTTCAGTTCTTCAAATGCTCGCTCCGCCTCCGCCGTCCAAACAAATTTCTTCTTGCTGCTGAGACAGTCAGTGATGGGAGCCGTCAAGTGGGCAAAGTTCTTGATGAACTTCCGATAAAAGTTTCCAAACCCCAGGAATCTTTGCACATCCTTCTTCGTCTTCGGTGTTTTCCATTCCAGTACCGCTTGGACCTTGCCTGGATCCATGGCCAATCCCTTGTCTGACAAGCGGTACCCCAGGAATTCCACCTCCTTGGTATGAAACTGACACTTCTCCAGTTTCACCCACAGCTGGTTAGCTTGCAGCTTGCCCAACACTTCTCGAACGTCCCTCACATGCTGCTCCTCATTCTCTGAATATACCAACACGTCGTCTAAGAAGGCTACACAATTCTTGTAGAGCAAAGGTCCCAGGACGTGGTTCATAAATGATTGAAAACACGCCGAGCCTGCTTGCAGACCGAAGGGCATAACGAGATATTCAAAGGCTCCCAAAGGGGTGAACATGGTGGTTTTCCATTCATCCCCCTTCCTTATTCGTATCAGGTTGTACGCCCCCCGCAGGTCCAGTTTTGTAAAAATCTTTCCCTTCCTCACCCTAGTCAAAATGTCATCAATTCGGGGCATAGGGAAAGCCAGAGGTTCCGACACTGCATTCAGGGCCCGAAAGTCCACTACAAGCCTTGGCTTATCTGTGTTTTTTTTGTCCACAAAAAACACTGGGCTGCCCCCACCGCTCGGGACTCTCTGATGAAACCTCGCTTCATGTTTTTGTCAATGAACTCCCTCAACTCCTGCATCTCCCTGTCTGACATAGCGTACAGGGAGTAGATTGATTTGACAGTCAAAGGGTCTATGCGGCGGCAGTTTGTCTGCTTCCCTTTCGCTGAATACGTTGCTCAGATCAGCGTATTGTGGGGGCACCTTCCCTTTGTCCGTTACTTCCATCCCTGCTAGGGTGACTCTGGCTCCTCCCGGAACCTTCCCCTCTTTGCAGTGTTCTAGGCAATGCGCTGACCCAAAGGAGACCACTCTCTGATGCCAGCCCACTAGCGGATCGTGTAGCGCCAGCCAGCTCATCCCCAAAATAATGGGAGCTCCTCCCAAGGTGGCCACATTAAACGCTATCCGTTCGGTGTGCCTTGCCACCCTCATTATCATCGGGACAGTCTGTTGGCTAACTTCTCCTCCCAACAGCTCCCTCCCATCGATCGTGGTCACCTGCAAGGGGTTACTTAAAGGGATAGTCTGTATCTGGTGCTCAGCTGCAAACTCCTTACTCATGAAATTACAGGAGCTGCCTGAGTCCAATAGCGCCTTTATCTTTAGTGGGTGTCCGTTTGGCAGCTCTAGTAACACCTCTATCACTAAAGCAGGTCTTGGAGGTTCCGGAGTGGGCACTTTCACTGCTCTTTGGCCTGGCTGCTGTGCCCCGACGGTGGCAGCCAGGCGTTGGCTTTTACTTGCTCCTTGCCTTCCTCCTCCTTTTCCCCAACAGCTCCCGCCATCCCTTGCCATTCCTTTCTTTGTGGGCAGACTCTGGCAAAGTGACCTGGCTGTTGGCAGAGATAACATTTCTTGGCGCTCTTCCCCTCCTTCTTCTGCCCTTCACTGGGATTTGAAACTGCGCACGCCCGCGCTGTTCCAATTTCCATCGGCTCTGCCGGCGGGAAAGGTGGCTCTGGAATCTCTGGAATGCGGAAATCCCTCCAACGTTCCCCTTTCCCTTCCCACTTTTCCAAAGCTCTCGCCTCCTGGCGTGCTCCTATGGTCAGCGCGGACTTGGTCAGCTGGTCCATAGACTCCGCCCTGGGTGCCCGGGAAAGTTCGTCTTTCACCACCGAAGAAAGCCCTTCTTCGAAAAGCATTTGTATGGGCTCCGCCGATAGATCCCACCCCAATTTATGGATCAACATGGTAAACTCAGTCCAGTACTCACGGACAGATCGGCTCCCCTGTTTGCAAGCCATTAACTGTCTTCGCACCACTCCCTGCTCAATGTCGCTGGAAAACATCAGGTCCATGGCGCGAAAAAACTTCCGCGTATCCTTTAGGATCTCATTATTCACTGCCATCAGGGGCCTAACCCAGTCTTTCGCCCCTGCTTCGAGATGGCCAATCACAAAAGCCACTCGCAACTCCTCGTTGGGAAAGTCATCAAACTGCAGATTGAGAGCATATTGCATCTCTGTCCTAAAGGCGTGATAGTTCCTGGGATCCCCCCCAAACTTCTGCACCAATCCTGGCACCTTTCTTGCAAGCGGGGTGGTTTTTCCCTTTTCTGCATCCTGAGCCCTCCTCTCCTCGAGCCTTGCCGTCTGCAGCGCTAGCTGGACTTCCAACACCCTGTACCTTTCTTCCAGGCTTGGACCAGCTCCAGCTCCTCCTGCTTCTCTGGTTTCGGCTGGGTTGCTCATGATGCCTTTCCCTGCACAAGCTGCTTACAGAGACTTTCGGATTGCTGAAATGGGATGATGAGCTGCTTGTGCGTAAAATCCTAGTCCCTCAGAGTTTGATCAAATCCGCAAACCTCTGCCTACGACGGAGCCCCTCAAGCATGGCTCTGTCAGTCGCTAGCAGAATCCGAAAGTGGGCGCTTTCGGAATCTCTTCCAGCATAAAAGCTCCTTAACGGAAACACGTCTTCTGGACTCTCGGCATGACAGTTTCCGGCGAGGAGTGGGTGTCCCTATAGGAGGTCTTGAAACCTCCCCACTGTTTTCGCTGGAAGTGTCTCTGAGCCATCCCTCCGACTCACTTTCCCTTGGAGTTCCTTCTCTCCCCCTACTGGTTCCCTCTTCAGCTGCTACGTCTCTCTCAACCTCAGTGAGCCCTTCCACCTCCTGTCCTTCCGATGGCAGTTCCCTGACACATCTGATATCGAAGCCAATACATATTCCCACTGTCTAGGTAATAGTGAACATTCCCATTATTTATTCCAATCATTTCTTAAACTTTACACATCAAACTTATTTGTTGATGATAAATATTTATAAAATGCTTTAGTTTCAAATGCAAATTTGGCCTTTGTACAACAGGCTAGTTTCTACACACATGCATTATCACAGTATCCTCCATCCATGCATGCAAGAGGCATTGAAGGGTGTGCCAGACAGCAGAGCCAGGCCAGAGTCTTGGTGGTGCAGTCCCTCAGAATTCTCTGATTGGCTACCAAGACAGCCAAACAACGGGGGGTGGGGCGTGGAGCCAACACTGGGGGGGGGACTGTTTCTGAGGGAGTTTTTAGATAGGGATAGAGATAGGGCTTGATTTGAGATGGATGGTAAGAATTAGGATAAGGTTTGCCTGAGGGAGAACTGGTTCTGATTTGAGCCAAACAACCACACTGAGGAGCCTATCTGTAGCATGAGGAAAGAGCCTCACAGCTTAGATAGGAAGACTGGGTTGAGGGTTTGGGAAATATAGTCAGGAGTTAACTGAAGGACTGAGTCTGAGCCAGAAGCTGTGGGAATCAGACTACCTGGGACTCATTCCAGTCAGGAGGGGAGATTTCTTCTAGGTAAAGAAGACTCCCAAAGCAATAACAAGGGGTGAGGTGATCCCCTGGGTCTGCTATACTAAGTAGAATACCTTAGGTGTGGGATTGTTTTCTTTAAAAAAAAAGTGAAGAAAAGTGCCCCTTTGCTTGTGAACCAAATTAATAAACGGTGTTAAAAGCGTTGATCTGAAGCATCTACCCTAAGCATCTGCATAAGGACCTAGAAAGGAGTAACGGAAACTGAAGTGTAACAACTGATTTTAAGTAAAGGGAGTTTGAGAGAAGCTGTGACTGTCATACTGTGTTTAAGCCTGTGATGTCCCTATATTTAGTTTAAATAATAAGTTCTACCTGAAAGAACGTGTCTCCTGACCTAAAGTTGTTTCACCATCTTCGGAGTTGGGTTTTTTTAAGGGGGAGGGGGTAAATCAAACTTTCCTTGTTTGATTAACTCCCGCCTGAGACTCCCTGAATGGTAGTTTCCCTCACACAACACCCCCTCCCCCGATAGCCTGTGGTAAATTGCAGTCATTTATTTAATTGGCGTATAGTGAGGTGGGTCTACTTTAGTCCACAACAAAGGGTGCATTGCAATCAGGCAGAAACACTTAATGAGGGTGTGAAGTAAGATCAGCTATGAGTGTCGTGATCTGGCTGTTGATTCCCTGACTATTGATTAGCTGGGATTCCTGCATTTCATAGGGTTGGACTAGGTGACATATGAGGTCTCTACAATTCTCTGATTCTACAATTCTAGGTAGCTTAGGCTGAGAGGTGGTGACTGGCACTCAAGATCACACCCAGTGAGCTTCATTGCCCAGTAGGGATTTGAAACCTGCTCTCCCCAAGGTCCTGTTCTGACACTCTAACCACTAGACCACACTGTGACTTCTCCCAAAGCAAGGGTGGTAGATCTGTGATGAACACATGCAGGCCAACACTTGATAACGAGCCATGTTCAAAAGCCCAGGTCTGTAGGTTGTTTAAGAGCACAATAAGAGACTTGCAGCTGGATCTGGTTTAAAAAAAAAAATGTTTGAGGAAATGCAGAATGGTCCTGAACCTTGGAAAGTGTTTCGGAAATTAAGGAGGGTGTTTTCATGCTTTTCTGCCCTATTTGCTCCATGTCTGAGTTTGCCACTTCCTTGCTTCTGCTATCTTTGAAATGTTTCTGTCTTCTTCCCATTCAGAAGGGTTCACAATCACTGTTTTTAATTGCCACATAGCACAGACTGAGAATCCTTAATGCCAAGCCCTGAACAGCACCACTTTTTTATTGAAAGATCAATATGAAGCAACCAACTTTTGAAGAGCAAATTGCTGTTTAATCCAAGCACAATTTTCCAGGATCAGCATAAGCCTAGACAGGAGAGTACAAATCATAGAATGCAGAGTTGGAAGGGACACAAAGGGCCATTAATGTTAGAGCGGATGCTAACAGTTATTCATGCAGACATTTGTTTGTTTGCTTATTTCATAAAATTTATACACTGCTTCATTGTACAAAATCTCAAATCAGTTTATGAAAAGATGAAACAATAAAACTGAGAAAAATTCATAACCATATTGTTAAACATACAAAAGTTAAAATAATAAAGCAGATTAAGATTACCCTCAACTTTCTAAGCATCTGGGTAGGCTTGTCTGAACAAGCAATAAGTATGAAGTTACTTCCACTGTGGACCTGAACCTCCCAAATAAATACTTGTCCTAAGAACACATAGTGTTATATATTAATGGGCTCACACACCAGAATCTTCTGGAAAGCCACTTGCAGAAACAGGAAACTGGGATGCATGTCCATTGAGATCTGACATATTAATGTGCCTGAGCAAATCTGCATTTCTCATTTCCCAGGATTTCCAGGCCCAAGCAAAGCCAGATTTCTGATGGGTCCTGGCTTTGCCCAATAGCTTGAGAGCAGGCATGTTGAACATCTGGACAGGGGTGACCCATTCCAACAGAAAGTACTTTTAACAATCTGCCTTAAAACTGCATAGGAAAAGGCCCTTAACATTAGTATTGAAGACTCCCTGTTGGGTCACATAAACCACTTAAGTCTGTCTCCACTTACATACATGAAAGGTCTTTGAAAGTTTAACACAAATGGCATTGTACACTAGTTCAGATTTCACACATAAATTCTCAATCTTTCCAACTTCGTTGAAGGGGTTGCTCCCATAATGGCACATTTCCCCCCCCCCCCCATTTATGGTGGGATTGCAGAAAGTGTGTGCAGAAATATCACAAATACTTAAATATGCAATTCTGGCATCGCCACAACTTGTACTATTTAATATATGGGATGATACTGTAAAATGATTCTCTTTGAAGGAATTGCTAAGTTGGTTTCTAGTAGCAGCTAGACTTTCTGTTGCATAAAAATGGAAGAACTGAAAGGATCTATTTCTTGAGTTGTGGCATAAGAATTTACAGAACCTTACAGCTGCTGAAAGGATGACACACAATATACTACATGGAGTTAAGTACCAGTGGAATATTGTCTTAAGATATTTCTCTTTCAGGTTCACACTAATAAACATTTCTGGAATATTATTTAATATCCAGTAGTTCTTATGTGTTTGCCACATTTGCTGATGTTTTCCCCTTTTCTCCTTTTTTGCTTCCAAAGGTTGGAGTCTGCAAGAGACCATGTTCTTCCCATTGACTATTACTTCCCACCACAGAAGACATGCTTGATCTGTGGGGATGAAGCTTCTGGGTGCCACTATGGAGCACTCACTTGCGGGAGCTGCAAAGTCTTTTTCAAGAGGGCAGCTGAAGGTAATTCATCTTTTTGTGTGTTTGTGATGTGTGTGATTGAATGCAAATCAGACAATGGCTGTAGATGTCTCTGTATATACACATATATATATATGCTTTCGTAGATTTTCACGGGTACAGGAATGCAGGTTTTGGTGTCCTCGGGTGTCTTCCCGTGTAAAAGTTGGGGTGTCTAGGCGACGTTTCGACGAGGTCTCACTCGTCATCTTCAGGCTGGTGCTTTCGGCTTCTTGTTACTGGAACAGAGCAGGATCTCAGTGTTTGAGTTCCTATAAATACTGTTGAGGGGGTGTGGTGTATAGCCTCCAATGTTCTGGGCAGAGAGGAAGTTCCCAGGTTAGTGTGCCTTTTCTTCTTTTGTTCCTTAATTACTTGAGGGATATCTTGAGTGATTTCTTGAGTGATATCCTGAGTACCACTTAGGTGGGTCATTAGGTGTGGATTAGTTGCTAAAGCCTTCGTGTCTTGACCTCTTGAACTTTGTGAAGAGTTTTTCTGAGAAGATGGCTGTACTGCAATTAGTTGTGCTCTGGCTTGGCTTCGTGTATAGGGGCGAGCTGTGGTTTTGTGTCCTGTGCCAGCCAGATCTGTGTAGGGATTGCAGGGGGGTGCAGCATCCGGAGGTGCCACCATGGTTTGGCTACTGGATGGTGTCTGTAATTTATCTGTGGAGAGGGTCTGGGTTTGGGTCTGGTGTGGTTGATTGGTGATGGCGTTCTGTGTGCCTCTGGATCTGGTGTCGGTTTTTGTGGGGAGGGCTAATTTCCAGATGTCTGGCAGGCGGGATGTGTCGTCACGCTTGTTCATGTTGTGAGGGTGTTTCTCTATCTCGATGGCTTCCATGATTATTCTCTTGTGGTGATGTTCCATGTTAGAGAGCAATTTGGAATCTGCAAAATTAATTTCGTGTCCTGTTTCTTTCATGTGTTGGAAAAGAGAGGAAGTTTTTTCTTCTTTTTTGACGGCATTCTTGTGTTCTGCGATACGTGCATTTATTCGTCTGTTTGTTTGTCCAATGTACGTGGCTGGGCAGACTTTGCAATACCCTGCAAAGTCTGCCCAGCCACGTACATTGGACAAACAAACAGACGAATAAATGCACGTATCGCAGAACACAAGAATGCCGTCAAAAAAGAAGAAAAAACCTCCTCTCTTTTCCAACACATGAAAGAAACAGGACACGAAATTAATTTTGCAGATTCCAAATTGCTCTCTAACATGGAACATCACCACAAGAGAATAATCATGGAAGCCATCGAGATAGAGAAACACCCTCACAACATGAACAAGCGTGACGACACATCCCGCCTGCCAGACATCTGGAAATTAGCCCTCCCCACAAAAACCGACACCAGATCCAGAGGCACACAGAACGCCATCACCAATCAACCACACCAGACCCAAACCCAGACCCTCTCCACAGATAAATTACAGACACCATCCAGTAGCCAAACCATGGTGGCACCTCCGGATGCTGCACCCCCCTGCAATCCCTACACAGATCTGGCTGGCACAGGACACAAAACCACAGCTCGCCCCTATACACGAAGCCAAGCCAGAGCACAACTAATTGCAGTACAGCCATCTTCTCAGAAAAACTCTTCACAAAGTTCAAGAGGTCAAGACACGAAGGCTTTAGCAACTAATCCACACCTAATGACCCACCTAAGTGGTACTCAGGATATCACTCAAGAAATCACTCAAGATATCCCTCAAGTAATTAAGGAACAAAAGAAGAAAAGGCACACTAACCTGGGAACTTCCTCTCTGCCCAGAACATTGGAGGCTATACACCACACCCCCTCAACAGTATTTATAGGAACTCAAACACTGAGATCCTGCTCTGTTCCAGTAACAAGAAGCCGAAAGCACCAGCCTGAAGATGACGAGTGAGACCTCGTCGAAACGTCGCCTAGACACCCCAACTTTTACACGGGAAGACACCCGAGGACACCAAAACCTGCATATATATATATCTGTATATACACAGAGATATAGGATGGGGTACCCCTGGCTTGACAACAGGACATGACAAAAGGGATCTAGGGGTCTTAGGAGACCAGAAGAAGAAGAAGAAGAAGAAGAAGAGGAGGAGGAGTAGTAGTTTGGATTTGATATCTACTTTATCACTACCCTAAGGAGTCTCAAAGCGGCTAACATTCTCCTTTCCCTTCCTCCCACACAATAAACACTCTGTGAGGTGAGAGACTTCAGAGAACTTCAGAGAAGTGTGACTAGCCCAAGGTCACCCAGCAGCTGCATGTGAAGGAGTGGGGAAGCGAACCCAGTTCACCAGTTTATGAGTCCTCTGTTCTTAACCACTACACCACACTGGCTCACAAGAACAACATGAGTCAGTGGTGTGATGCAGCAGCAAAAAAAGCTATTGCTATTGTATGCTGCATTAACAGATATCAAGGGGAAATAATAGTTTCACTCTATTCTTCCTTGGCCAGACCCCACTGGGAGTCCTGGGTCCATTTCTCAGTGCCACAGTTTAAGAAGTATCGTATATACTCAAGTATAAGCTGACTTTTTCAGCACATTTTTTATGCCGAACCCCCCCCCCCGGCTTTTACTCGAGTGAGACGGGCAGTGGCGGCGGAGGGATGAGCGGCCCGAAAGGAGCCCTTTCTCACCACTGGTCCCGCCACCCGCCTCTTGCAAGGGCAGAAACAGGAGCTGCGGTTGGGAGAGGCACTGCACTGCACTGTGCCTCTCCCAACCACGGCTCCTATGCCTGCTCTTGCGAGCAGCTTGCGAGCAGCAGAGGTGGCGGCGGAGGGACATGTGGCCTAAAAGGAGCCCTTTTGGGCTGCTCCTTCCTCCTCTTCCATCTTTGCTGCTGTCAGTGGCGGAGGAGAAGGAACGAGCAGCCCAAAAGCAGCCTTTTCGAACTGCTTGTTTTTCCTCCACTGCTGCCGCCACCACCAGGTTTGTGGTGTGGTGAACCAGCTTATACTCAAGTATATACGGTATATTGGCAAGCTATGACATGTGCAGAAGAGGAGGGTGAAGAATATGATCAAGGGCCTGGAAACCAAGCCCTAAGAGGAATGGTAGAGGGAGTTAGGGATGTTTATCCTGGAGAAGAAAAGATGGAGAGGTGACATGATAGCCATCTTCAAATATCTGAAGGGCTGTAACATGGGAGAGAGAGCAAGTTTGTTTTCTCCTGCTCTGAAGAGAAGGTCCTGAATCAATGGATTCAAATTCCAAGAAAGGAGATTTAAACTAAACATTAAGAAGAACTTTCATAGGGTAGAAGCTGTTCAGCAGTGAAAAAGACTCCCTCAGAAGGTGATCTCATTTGAGATTTTGAAACAGAGTCTAGATGGCCATCTGTCAGGGATTCTTGAGCTGTGGTTAATGCATTTCAGGGGTTGCACTAGATTGAGGCCCCTTCCAACTCTACAACAGTGGTGAGATCCCGTTGCTCTGACCCAGCAGTTTGAAAGCACAGATAAATAGGTACTGCTGCAGCAGAAAGGTACATGGTGTTTCCGTGTGCTCTGGAACTCATCATAGTGTCCTGTTGCTCCAGAACCGTTTTAGTCATGCTGACCACATGACCAAGAAAGCTGTGTGTGGACAAATGCCAGCTCCCTCAGCCTGAAAAATGAGATGAGTGTCATACCCCATAGTAGCCTTTGACTGGACTTAACCATCCAGGGGTCCTTTACCTTTTTACCTCTATGATTCTGTGATTTCATTGGGTTAAGCAGCCCAGATTACATTTAATTTCTGTATTAAAACTCTTTAGCAGACAGTAATCTTAGTAATCTTAGGGACGCGGGTGGCGCTGTGGGTTAAAGCCTCAGCGCCTAGGACTTGCCGATCGAAAGGTCGGCGGTTCGAATCCCCGCGGCGGGGTGCGCTCCCGTCGTTTGGTCCCAGCGTCTGCCAACCTAGCAGTTCGAAAGCACCTCCGGGTGCAAGTAGATAAATAGGGACCGCTTACCAGCGGGAAGGTAAACAGCGTTCCGTGTGCTGCGCTGGCTCGCCAGGTGCAGCTTGTCACGCTGGCCACGTGACCCGGAAGTGTCTGCGGACAGCGCTGGCTCCCGGCCTATAGAGTGAGATGAGCGCACAACCCTAGAGTCTGGCAAGACTGGCCTGTACGGGCAGGGGTACCTTTACCTTTAATCTTAGTGTTTGCCTGCTCAGGGTGAGGACTTCCCATCTTGTCTTTAAAGAAAGTTTTCCCTTGAATCCACCCGCCAACCCCCAGAAAACGGTGCTGGGTTAGGAAGGATAGTGGCGATTATTATCTGCCAGATTTCCACCTCCAAATGGCTCCCCCTCCAAATCTGTTTTTTTTGGGGGGGAGGGCACATCTTGTTAGAGAAACTAAATTATTGAAGGCAAAATAGGTTGATAAGGGAAAGGAATGGAACTCTCCTTGTAGTGTGGTATGGGGGCTAGATTATCAGACTAGGACGTGGGAGACCAGGGCTTAGATCCCCAGACGGCCGTGAAGCTCCCTGGGAGACAATGCCACTCAGCCTGAACTACCTCACATTTTTGTGAGAATTAAACATGGAGCAGACGATCTCAGGTTCAATCCCTGACAGCATCTCCAGGTAGGGTTGGGAATCACCCCTGCCTGAAAGGAAAGCCTGGAGAGCTGCTGCCAGTCAGAGTAGGCAATACTGGGCTAAATGGACCAGTGGTGTGACTCAATATAAGGCAACTTCCTATGCTATCCTCCTCCCATCCTATTTTGTTCAGGTGAACATAAATCGATTGCACTCTGAGCTTTCACCTCAAAGACCAGGATCTGAAGCTTTATGCTTCCCTGTGCACCCCTCAGCTCCAGGTTTTGGTGTGGATCCCTGGCATGCTGTTGTTGTTGTTTCTTATTTAGAGGTGACAGCAAGATGGCAAGTTTGTTCAGGCTGAAGGGAAAGAAAAGATTGTGGCTTTTAAATTCGTGAAGATGGGAGGAACAGGCAGCAGTTTAGAGCCCATATATTTGGAAACATAAGTACTGCCATAAA